GACGCAGGCGGGGAGGGTATGGCACCGGCATGGTTGGGCAGCAGTAGCTGGATGTGGATGATGCCGGCATCCTGGTGCCTCACCACGTGCCCGGGAATCACGCACGTGTATCCCAAAAGCACGGATCCAGGGTGGCAAAATGCCCGTGGTGATGGGAAACACACGGATGGCTTCAAAGCAATGGAGTGGCACACGAATGCCAAGCGGGGTGTGATGGCGCAGAGCCAGCGTGCCAGGAAAGCGTCCCCTCCTGATGGGAAATGCAGAATCCCAACAAGGCTTTAGCCCATCCCACCGCACTGGCTCCGCTGGGATTTTACTGGAGTATTCAGAGGACGGGATCAGCCCCTTTCAGCCGTTACTCAACTGGGACCAGAAATCCCTGCGGGATGTGGGTGGGGGAACTGGTATTTCCACTCTGAGCCCTATATGGTCCCGCTCACCCCGACGCCAATTGCCGTTTCCTGAGCCGAACAATAGCGAGAGAAAATCCCCTGAAAATGGTTTCGCAGAGGGAAAACGTGGTTCCTGTGCGTGCCAGCGATAAGCACTGCCGGAGGGAGCCAGATGCACCGAGCCCATGCCGGGGCTGGATCCTGCCCCCGCCATCTTCCCTGGGTATCCGTGGCAATGCCATGTGTCCCCACTGCCACCGGGGTGTCTCCCCACTGTCAGCCGCTATCACGGTGACAAAACAGAGATGCCCTTCGGTGCCCTACCTCCTTCCATCACCCCCAAGGCAGGACGGCTTTACCCGCTGCCCCAGCCCGCGGGCCGAACTCCTCCAAGAACAGCAACGCAGAGAAAAACTCCTGGTTTGGCCCCAAAATCAGCCAGATGATGTGAAAAGAGATGGCAGGGACACCACATGGTCCAGACCAGGCTCTCTCGCCGCTGGCACGCAGGGAGGCTCAGCCCCGGGCATCACACTGTATCCTCCCATTATAAGAACACGCTGATCTCTGGAGAAAAAAGCCAAGGAATAATCTTGTGGCCTCTAAACCTGGAGGCAAATGGTGAAAAAAAACAAAACAACCCTCCCCCCAAAAAAAGCCTGGTGTTTACAACGGCCATACTGCTCTCTGGGTGACTTGGCAGCAGGTATTTAAGCTTTCGGAGGTGGCCCATGGCTTTTGGAGGTGATGTTTTTCCCCAGGAGAGAGGAAGATGCTCTGATGCCTCAAACAAACACCGGAAATGGGGAGATCCAGGGGCTTTTATCTCAGTTTTCCTTCCAGGTCCATTAGAAAAATACACTCTGCTCCTCGAGATGCTAACGAGCCTGCAGCTCATCACCTGCAGACTGTTACCCAGGCAAGGACTTAGGAACCAGATGGGGAAACTGAGGCACAGAGAAGCAACCAGGACAGGCTCCCCAAGATACAGAGCAGCTTTGCGTGACGAGTCTCCATCATAGGGACCGCAGACGATGTGCCCTGGGACTGGAGCTGCCCGAGGAGGCAGGTACCCCAGCACGGACTCCCCCGCAGAGGGGATGCCACAAGATCGGTCACCCGGGTCCTTCCCAAAGTGCCCTTGTCCTTGGCCCGTGGCCCGTGCATGCGCATTATTCACGGCATCGGCACGCGAGCCTTTCCCGACACCGGTGGGCGGCAGGGTCTGACCCGGCGCGTTTGTTAATGCCCGAGGAGCTGAGCGGCAGCTGCGCTGTGCCGGCTATGCCAAGCCCGTGCCGCAGGATCAGCTTTTCCCAGGCAGTGGAGTTGCACACAACAGCCAGCACCCGCAAGCTGAGTCGGGCCAACAGGACAAAACCAGACCTGATAAAGATTCCCACGGGAGTGGCACAGCTCCCTGCCAGATCCGTCCTTCGCCAGCCGCTGGCAACCATCGAGCCGAGGGGAGGCTGGCACGGGCCAAGCGCGGTGCCTGAGCCTCCAGAGGGTTTGCTTAAAGCTGGATCTGAATGTTCCAAATGAAAAAACAACTTTCCATCTCCTAAAAAACACCATGGACAGAAATACCGCCGCGAACTAAACCAGCGCTTCCCCCGGTGCCAGGGCAGCATGGCACGCGGCTCGCTGGCGTGCAAAGCCCGCGAAGGACCAGGTAACACCCGCAGTGGATTGAGGGCCGCCGTGAAACGGGAAGGCAGGGACGCAGGTTGTCCTCCCCCCGGCACCCCGTGCTGCACCGCCCGCCTTGGGGGGGTCCAGCCATCCTTACGGTGCGCTCCCACCGCTCAGCCTTTTCGGGAAGCAACTTCTTAACCTCCTCCGGCAGGTTGGCTCCCCTCAACCCACCCTCCTGGGTTTTAAACGGCTTCCAGAACATGCCATCCCCTCCCAGGTCTTGTCCCCCTCCGCACGAGCAAGGTCTCCATCGCTTGGAGGTGCTGGGGAAGGGAGGTAGAGCAGCCCTGGACCACCCCAAATTAGGCTCCTGGGCATCTGGCAGGGAAAACAGCCAACCTGGAGCCCAGCAAGGGCAAACCTGGTCCCAGCAGGCTGTTCCGGCTGCAGAAAAGACCACGGGCAGCAGGGCAAAGGCAGTGGCACTAGAGGAGCCAGGTAAGAGGCCACGGGGCCCCCAC